CTAGGGATTAGTTTGGGGTGAGTCAGGACTGTGAGACCTTTGGATCCGGAAATGTGTGGAAGAAGTTGCTTCACCCTCAGTTGCTTTCTTGTTCTTTGCTTTCTCATTAGCGTAAAAACCTGTTTCACTCTCAGTCTAAAGAAAACACATTGTCAATATGTATTTAGTCTTAAGAGTTCTAGAACATCAATCCAGACACTATTTAGGAGCAAATATTTACCCAACATGTCTCCAGAAGCCTTCTTTTCAGGAGCCCTAGACTAAGGGATATTGACTTAACCAAAATTTAAATTTCTAACAGTACAAACTTTTTAAAGCATCCCCCCCTGCAAAAAAAGAGACTGGGAAAAAAAATACATAAAAATGAGAACAGTGGAATTATAAGTCTTTTTTTCCCCTTTATCTTCCACTCTTTAGTGGAAACTTTCCTACCAAACTGTTAATATAAATGTTTTGATCTAATATTAATTCACAAAGGAAGACTTCTTTGAATTTCCAATTTTGAGTTGCATGCTGAACATCTAGACCTCAAAAGTCACCTCTTACTGTTGATCTCTCTACTTGTTCATGGCATCAGTGTCCCCCCATAGTTACCCAAGTTTGGGCTCCTATGTCTTCCATTATTCCTATTTCCACAAAAACCCACTTTTATCCAGGTGCCAAGTCCTTTTTCAATTTATTTCCACAGTGGCTACCTGATGGCAATCCTTACCTCCTTGTCAGGCCTCCAAATACATCTTGCACCTTCCTCTCTTCCCTAGACATGGTTCATCTTCATCCATCTCCCTGAAATGCAGACCCAGGCATGTTACTACTTAGCTCAAGAATCTCTAATGTTAGGCTCCGGCAAAGATTCTCCCCTTGACCAAACTTGAGTCAGGCTCCCCTAAGCCCTCTTTTTAAATAGGCTTCGACCTTAGGCTTTGGTGTCTGTCAGGCCTGCATAGCCCACTTTCAGCAAGAATCCTAAGTCAGTTTAGAAAGGATCCCCCACCCTCAATATCTGATTACCCTTAATGTCTAATCAAATTCATCACCCACCGCTATCCCCAGGTGGCCTGCCTTCAGAAGAATCCTGTCAAGTTGGTTTAGCTAGACTCCTGCCCCCCACCCTTACCCATGATATTTCCACTTAGTTCAATGTTCACAGACACCTCCCAGCCCCCATGGCTATAAGTTTCCCCTGGTCCATGCTGTATTTGGAATTGAGCTCAGTTCTATAGAGAGGTCTCTTTTCCCTTATTGCAATAGTTCCTGAATAAAATCTGTTCTTAACTATTCATCCTAGCCTAGAAAAGGGTTCTCTTTGGAGAGGGAGAGAGGAAATGGTGGCTTAGCACATACCATAAAACAAGCTGATGGATTTCTGGGTGAAGCAAATTCTCTAAGAAGGGATGAGAGAAGATCATGATTGGTCTTTGTGTTTCATTAATTTACACTGCATGTTAAAAAAATTCATTGAACATTCATCAAATAAATAGATTAGAAGACAGCACAGGGAACTGTTATTTCTGTAATAGTCCATTTATAGGGAGGAATAATCTAATAATCTAGTTGAAGCAAAGAATATTATGTTAAAATGAGGTGTCTCTGTATTGAGAGTTTCTTAGTAAATACAACAATGAGAGCCTTATTTACGGAACCAAAACGGTAGGGTCTCGGGGAGTTTTTACCACTAACTCACAGAGTTGAGGAATTAACCAGTTTTTAAAATTCAATCATGAATTTGTTTATTTATTCAATAAACATATGCTAAGGGGACTACGTGGCTCTAGGACCCAGGCCCAGAAAACAGACTGTGCCCAGGGCAGCCTGGTGCACTTCATTTACATCCCTTCAGATCCCAAAGTTATGTGTTCAGTACAGGCCTTTCTGCTCTTTAGTAGTGTATACAAAACTCCTGCACCTGGGCATCTACTGGCACTTCAAGCTTCATACATCCAAAACCGAACTCCCTGTCTTCTTGGCCAAACACCTTCCCCAGATTGGTCAAAGGGCAGCTCCATTCCTCCAGTTGGTCATCCCACAAATCCTGACTTCTCTTTCTTTCATACCCCACATCCAACAAAGCTCATTGGCTCCACCTTCCAGAAATGTCTAGACTCTGCTGCCTTCTCACCACCTGCACTCTGTGCTAAACTATCATCATCTCTCAACTGCCTTATTTTATTAGCCTCCCAACTGACACCCTTGCCTTTTAAGACTGAAGGTAGATTAAGGAAGTTTTCTGCCCTCAAAATCCTCCACTGACTTCCCATCTCATTTAAAGTAAAAGCGAAAGTCCTTACTGTGGCCTCAGGGCTCGCCATGGTCTGTCTGGTGACCCTTCTTCCTCATCTCTCTGTACTCCTCACTCACTCTGCCCCAGCCACATTGGCTGCCCTGCCAGCCCTAGAAAACCCCAGGCAGGTTCTCACCTTAGGGCCTTAGGACTTGCGGTTCCCTTTCCAGGAGAGGAAATTTCCTCTATACTTCTACATGGCTTACTCCCTACTCTCCTTCTTGGCTCAAATGTCACCTTCTCTGTGAGGTCTTCCCTCAGCCTGCATTCTTTGGAACCAGATGCTGAGACAGAGATTGGGGTGCAGGATATTTATTAGGAATCCACAGCTGTGAAGAGAGGCAGATGTAACAGAACAGGATTAGGCAGGAAAAGTCAGCTGCAGTACAGGCCTGACAAATCCTCATCCAATCCGGGAGAGAGCTCTATCAGCATGTCCTGCACCAGACCGACATGGCCAGGCCTTTATATTCCTCTCTCATTTAGTTACTGAATTTGGGCTGCCCCATGAAGGGCATGGCTGAGCCATGGTGGCTCTCCGCAGACGAAGCCGACCCTGAAGGAGCTGAAAGCCAAGAGTGTCTGCTGACCGCCTCCCTTCTATGAAGGCGGATCTATGTAGTGCGTCTTGAAATCTTCCACACCATCCTGTTTAAAATTGCAATATCCTCTGTCGTCCTATCGCCCTTCATGGTCTTATTTTTTTCACAGCACTTAACACCTTCTAATATACTATGTAATTTAGTTATTTATTTTGTTATCTGGTTCTTTCACTGGAATATATGTTCTAATGGACGAGCGATTTTTGTGTCTTTGGAGCATAGCTGCATTTAGAATGATGCCTGGCTCATAGCAGGCACTCAATAAATATTTGTTGTTTGAAAACATCATTCAGTGGCCTGTCTAGTCATCACGCTGTAAAAGCCTTGCAAGAACCATGTCTTATTCATCTTGTCAGCATATGGTCCTTAGTAGGTGTATAATACATGTTTGTTGAATAAAGTCCACGAATGATTGTTATGTGAAACACCGGTGTAATTTAAAATTCATTAGCTATATTAAAAAATAATGAGAATGGTAACATTAATTTTTAAAATATCTAACTCAGTATATCTAAATTTTTAAATATCTAACTCAGTATATCTAAATTTTATCATTTCAATATGTAATCAATATGAAAATTATTAATGAAACATCTTTTTGTTTTGTTTTGTACTAAGTCTTTCAAATTCGGTGTGTATTTTGCACTCATACCATAACTCAATTTGGACTAGTCACATTTTAAGTGCTGGATAGCCCTGTGTATACAGTACATCCTCTATTGGAATTCTGCAATTAATGAGTCAGAATAATACAGTGTGTGTTGGAGGGGGAGTGTGGGTTAGAGAGGGGAGGTCTCTGGAGTCAATGATTTTCTGGGTCCCCATCATGACCCTTTAACTTAATAGCTACTGATGTGTTCCAGCCAAAAGCCACCAGGAACACACTCATAGTTGAACATGTTGGGTTGGTTGCTTATTGGGAGGAGACGGCATATCATGGGAACTATGGGGCATTGGGGATTGAAATAACTTATTGTGGGATTTAGGTTTGTATTAGGTGATTTTAGGGAAGGTTTTAGGAAGAAGGGCTTTCCTCTGGACTGGACTGGATGCTGTCAGGAAATGGGGATAATTCTATGATTGGAGATTTTAATTTTGTCTAGAGGGAGGAAACCTAGGCAGAAGCTAAAGCTGTAATTGGTAAAGAAAGAGGAGTCACTTATTCGCCAGAATAGAGGGATGTTTGTTCACTTTTGTGGCTTGAACAATTTCATGTTTTGCTGTGTTTGTATAGGATTATGGAGTGGCATTGTCTAATGTTTATGTTCCGCAAGAACCAGCTGTGAGCACCGGGCCAGCTCCCAGCAACGCAGATGCCTGGCTCATAGTACCAAGCCAGCTCCCGGAGTTCTAGAGCTGCTTTTCTCTAATAGCTGTGCGACCTTAAGCAAGTGATTTAATATCTCTGTGGCCCAGTTTTCTCATCTCCACAATGAGAATACAAAAGCATTTATCTCTCCATCTCTTAAAGTTGTTATCAGCATTAAATAAGACAATCCGTGTAAAGAAATTGGGATAGTGCCTTGTATATAGTCACCACTCAATGAGTGTCACTGCCTTTCAAAGATTCTAAACTGCACTATATTTTTCACACTTCCAACATCTTGGAACGTCTTCCAAACAATAGCTTCTTAGAATAAACACAATGTAGTATTATTATTTCCAGAAGGCTCTGGTTTGGGGGACAATTCCTCGACCCCTCCAACGGCTCAATCCATTCCTGGGTAAATGCCATCACTTTTCAACCTTTATCACTTTTCCAGTCCGCGGCAGACGCCCTCTGGGACCCTTTTCCGGGCTCGGAGTTTTTTGCTGTGCGGCTTCCCTAAGCAATACGGGTGCGGGCGGCAGCACTCGGGAGCTTACGGCGGCGCGGCGCCCACGCGGCCCCGGGAGCCGGAGCAGAACCCGCGCGTCCCCGCCCGCCCGGCCGTCAGCTGATGGGCCGCCCGCCGGGGAGGCCCACGCCGCCGCCGCCGCCGCCGCCGCCGCGCGAACATGGCGGCCGAGATTCACTCCAGGCCGCAGAGCAGCCGTCCGGTGCTGCTGAGCAAGACCGGGGAGGCCCACGCCGCCGCCGCCGCCGCCGCCGCCGCCGCCGCCGCCGCCGCGCGAACATGGCGGCCGAGATTCACTCCAGGCCGCAGAGCAGCCGTCCGGTGCTGCTGAGCAAGATCGAGGGGCACCAGGACGCCGTCACGGCCGCGCTGCTCATCCCCAAGGAGGACGGCGTCATCACGGCCAGCGAGGACAGGTAGGGCTGGCGGGTGGTGCCCCGGCCGAGGCGCGACGGGGGCGGCCCGTACTCCCGCAGGCGACGGGGTGTGGGGGCGGTGGGGTCGGCGGCCTCGTCCCTCTCCGCGGGGGGGCGTCCTCGGCCCCCGGCGTCCCACCGCGCCCTTCCAGTCCCGGACCTTCACCCTCTAGCTCGGGACCCTGGTCCCACCGCGCCCCTCCGGACCGCCCCGCTGTCCTACTGCGTCCTTCCAGCCGGGGACCCCCGTCCCAGTGCGCCCCTTCAGTCAGGAACCCCCACCGCGCCACCCTAGCCCTGTTTCCTCCCCGCTTCCAGCCCGGGACCCCGGACCCGCCCCTCCAGCGGGGGGACCCCCGTCCCCTTGAGCCCCTCCAGTCAGTGACCCCCACCGCGCCTGTCTAACTCGGGATCCTGGCCCCGTCCAGTCTGGCAACCCCAGTCCCACCGCGCCCCTTCCAGCCCGGGACCCCCGTCCCTGCCCTTCTTTGTGGGGTTTTGCTTGCTCCTCGAAAGCGTCGCGACCTCTGTGGGGTGGGGGTGGGGGTGCTTGGCCCTCCGCGATCAGTTCCAAGCCTTGGAGCCGGGAGCACTGCGCGGGTCCTGGTGGCAGGGATTCCCCGCTCTCAACAGACCTCCGGGGGCTTTCACTCTCTTACTTCTGCTTTACTCTGGCGTTGACAACTCTTTTCGCACAACACCGGCTCCCTAGATCAGTTATTTTTTTTACAGCTGCTAGAACCATCTGAACTCTTGTTTACTACATAGTTGTTATTTTGCTTTGTTTTTTCGTAAAAGAGACTTATTTTTGAAAAAGTTACGGGCTTTTATTTCGAAGAAAAAATTAACTTCCACCGTTAACGGAAAACCAGTATCACTTGCCATAAAGAATTAAACTCATAGCTAAAGCATGTCTTTATGCACCTAAAGTCGTCTCTTTCCAGCTCATTGGTCTGCCCAAGGCTGTGTGATTGGATTGAAGAGATATTATTTGTTTTAAAACTTTAGTGTTTTTAAAACCCTAAACGTTTAAAAGGTTTGTGGCTTTACGGTGGGAATTTGGAGGAAATGACTGATGTTTGCTGAGTGCAATTGTGTTTCCTTGCTACAAGGAGTGATCTTAAATGGTGATATTCCAGAAGTCATAAAGGCCTCTGGAAGGTGGTACTTGCTGTCCCCTTTGAGCTGACAGCGCAGTCCAGCCTTTTGTAGTCATAGCTTTTGAAGTACCATTGACGGCCTGTGCTCATTGGGAACAAAACCTGAAGCCCCCATATATTTCGCTTTTGAGTCCGCTTATTGTGAGCAGGCAGTAGTCTCTCCAGTTCATTTGCATGTAGCTGACCTCAAAGGAGGTGGGGAGCGATTGGAAGGACCTGGGTGTTGGTGTGCAGAAGCAGTAGGGAAAGGGACAAGGGGGTGCATGAGCCACAGGGAGAAGAAGGGAATGTGGGGGAAAAAAAAGGCAAAGGACACAATAATGATATTTGCATGATATGAACTTAGATGCAGACAACATTTTATAAAACTTAGCTATCTTATTCGGTAAAATATCTGTTGACTCATGCATGTTGGGTAAATTGCTGAATATTTGAGATAACTGGCCAGGAGCAGTGCTGATAAATGTTTTATGGAAAGTGATTACTTAGCTGCTCTGGGACTGAAATGTTCTGGGGGAGCCTTGGATCAGCTCACTTTTTCACTGGGGCACAACAGGGCCCTTACCGATGACCGGACCAGGTGAGGGTCGGAGCCTTGTGTTTCTACTGTGTGTTTCAGGCCCCTGGAGCTTCCCTGAAGGTAGGACATTTTTGAGCAGATGCCTTACTTTATGGGATTTATGAAAGCACGTGGCTATGGGTTTTTGTTGTTGTTGGATGTGGTGGTGCATCTTTACATTGTCATAGATACGTGTCATACTCTTCAATCATTCACTCATTCATACATTCATGTATTCATTCATTCATAGATTTAGAATACTGTACCTATTGAGTGCCAGGCTCAGGGAATACAACACGGATCAAAAGTCACAGCAGCTGCCCTCCTGACTTCTGATTCATTGATTTTTATGGCCCTTGACCTGATAGGACCAGCATATTAAGGAAACAGAATACTGACCGCCCTTATTCATCAAACAAGCATTTCTTAGACACTGTGGGCTGGACCTGTGGGATAGAAAGACAGTGACGTCAAAATCTGTTTCCAAAGGGCTGGACAGACTGGTGAAGGGATGGCCCTGTGCCCTCAGCTTCCAGGGTGTTGGGGAGACACAGAGGAAAGTGTGTCCTTGAGGGCCAGGGTTCAAGGAAAGCCTTAGGAGATGGCACTGGATAGAGGAGTGGGCTGTGTGAAGGAAGGAGAATGCACAGCCCTGCACCAGGCAGATGGAAAGAGCAGGAGCAATAGAAGACCACAGTTATTTCTAGGTGACCAGAGCAAAGGGTATATGAGTGGCCATGACAGGAAAGAGTCCTGAGAGCTGGAGGGCCTAGTGTCCAGTTCTGGAAGGGCCTTTCTTGTGCACCACTCTTAGAAATTGGACTTTAGTTTGCAGGTAGTGAGGAACCATCAAAGATTTCAAAGCCAGTGACATGATCAGAATTCATACTTTGGAAATAACAACAGCTAACCTTCTAAAAGTCCCTTCTCTCTATCCATAGAGAATTGGACCTATGTACGGGCTGCATCCAGTCCTCACTTCCCCCCGTGAGGTGGGGGGGAGGGGTACAGTCACTTCCCTTATCAGTAGTAGCTCCAAAATTAAATGTATTCTAAAAGTCAAAGGTGGGTTGGTTAGTTTGTTTGTTTGTTTGTAAACTGGGCCTGAAAACTCTTTGGTGCTAAAACTTGCCCTGAGGAGACAAGACTGTTTGTAATCTTTATTTATCCGGTGCAGCATGAGTGCTCCTGCGTTTTCCTGCAGAAGCAGCGGTGTGTGTAACTGCAGGTGCTGTCCCCAGGCCCCGCTGTGGGTGTTTGGAACTGACCGTGGGTGTATGCATCCTACTGCAGTGGGCCTTTGAGGGTTTAGGAAACGGAGGCACAAAGGATAACTGAAGTCATGCCCCAAGGCCTCATAGCTAGTAAGTGATTGGATTAAGATTTGAACCCAGGTCTGATTCAGAGGCTCTGGTTCTTTCTGCCGTGCATCCAGGTTTGCTGCACATTTGGAGAAACCAAATGCAGGCAGTATCCGTCAACGATGGACTGTTCTGGCAGCAAGTGTAAAATGCTAGGATTCTGCCTTTTGCTATGATTTAGTTATCCTTCCTTCTTTTAGTTTTCAGGGTTTTGTTTTGTTTTTTTTGAAAAAAACAAAGCTTGTACGTTTTCTATATAACTTCTGCTTTAATGCTCAGAACAGTAACTTTTAACATTTAAAATAAGCTCCAGCTGAAGTTAATTCATTTAATGAAAGCTAAAAGCAGCAAGAACTGGCTTGAGAGCATTTTGAGAGGAAAGTGAAAGATGAGAGGGTCACCTGAAGTTAGTGTCCACTTTTCTAAACTAGGCCAGTGGTTCTCAAGGAGGGGTGACTTTGGCCCATAGTGCAATTTGGCAGTATCTGGCGACATTTTGGTTGTCACAACTATAGGAAGGTATTGCTGGCATCTAGTGGGTAGAGGCCAGAGATGCTGCTCAGCATCCTATAATGCACAGTACGCTAAGTACCTCACAAAAAGAATTACCAGCTCCAGATATCAGTAGTACCATGGTTGAGACACCCTGGTTTAGGCTACATGTACTTATTTATCTGGTCTCTCTAGGCAATGGTTCTCAAACTTGAGCATGTATCAGATTCTGATTCAGTGAGGCTGGGGTGGGGCCTGAGAGTTTGCATTTATTCCAGGTTCCCAGAGATGTTGATGCTGATGCTGTTGGTCCAGGAACCCCACTTTGAGAACCACTTTCTACAAGAGTTACTTGTCATGGTGCTTGCCTGTGTAGGCCCACTGGGAGCGAACACTTTGTCTTCTTTTCTCTCAGTTTCTGGGATATATTTGCCTGGAGTTATATGTTCTCATCGATTTCCCATTAAAACCAAACCGTGTATGACAAATCTAAATACACACAATCCCTTCAAAGAATATTAAACCCATGTAGAATACCGAGCCTAATACCATCGTACCTGGAGTCACTGGGAATGGTTTTGGCCGTGAGCTTAGGGGTCTGATCTGAAATCGTCGGAGTTCCTGTGCCACAAAGGGTTAACAGAAAATGGCAACTACTCTCTTGTATGCATTCATGTAGATTTTGTTAGAGTCATAATTACCCCAAACTCTTTTGTTACACTAGACCTGAATTTGTGTTTTTAACTTTAGTTTGCAGTTGCCTGAACTTGGGAACTGGCATTTTTCAGCATGCCAAAAATGCTACTTTTGTAAAGCTTAAAAAAAAAAAAATTCTTGAATCAATAAAGTCAGACTGCCTTTCTAGTCAGGAAACTGTAAAAATAAAAGTACTAACCTGAGTGGTAAGAACTACAGCAATCATTTTCCTGATAGTGGGAACAGAAAATGAGACTCAGCTTTCCAAACAGAACTGAACTGTGGTGAGACTGAGAGAAAACCATTCCCTGGACAAGTTTGCCTTTTGAACTTTTTTTTCCCTGTGGACTGCACCAAAAATTTAATAAGAGTAAGCAGAAGGACGGAATTTTTAAAAGAAAAAACTTTATGAGAAAGCCTTAGAAATCAGGCTGCAGTCCTGCCGTCTTCATTTTTGGAAAACAGTTGGAGGATGAGTGTGCTTATGCTGTTGCATCAGGGGCCTTGGAGGCCACGATTGATTGCTGTGAGGAACTTAGTTGCCTGGCATAAGTCAAACAAAGGCAAATCCCATGTGTTTGGAATATTGTAGGATGTTGCACTTAGACTGGTAAACAGTAATAGTTAGAGAAATCCAACTTTTAACATATTTGGGTAACATCTGCTTTTCTTGCTGCTGTTATACCAGCTATTTACTCTGATATACTTGTTTCCTTTCAGACATTTCTAAGC